AAACGTCATTCCAGCTGGTGATTTCGACACGTCCTCATGCACTGGCGACTTCGACTCCTCCAGACCTTTCTTATGTTCAACACCATGTGGTATCTCACACTCATCATCATCTATAGGTACAGAAATTGCGTCATTAGGCATTCTAAGTTCCATTCCTTCTTCAGATTTGGAAACCTCTTCATGGAAGGTGGATTCAGCTTCACCTATATGGGCACTTGATTCTTTAACGCCTTCAGTATATTCTGTGGTGTTTAGTCTATTGAAATCCTCCATGTCAGTTTGAATCGCAGGCTCACCAGGAGGCACGGTGAATTCCATTCCTGTTGAAGACTTCGAGACTTCTTCATGGAACGGAGACTTTGATTCCAATTCAGTGACTTTCGGCTCCTCTATATCTTGGTGGTGCTCAATATCAGCAGGCGATGTTACAAGTTTCGTATCTGTAGACTGTTCTGTACTCTCCATATGTAAAGGCGACTCTGGTCTTACCTCATGGGCAGGGAATTCATGGTGGTGTTCATCTGCAGCCAATGGCATTGGAGCTTCCATTCCCATGGGGGACTTTGGCATCGCCTCAGCAGCTAATGAATCTGCCATTTCTAATTCATCGTGATGTTCATCAGTTTCGGGTGTTGACACTTTCGTTTCTAGGTCTTTGTGGAATTCAATACCAGTAGGAGGCATAGCAAAGTGCATTTCAGCCGGTGATTTCTCAGTTACCGAGGCAATCGGGGATTCAGGTGAACCCTTTAGGTCTTCCTGTTGATGAGCAGGCTCAAGACCTACTCCTAAAGGTGTCTTTGAATCGTCGGCTTCCGGAGTAGTGATTGCGCCATGATTTTCTGTAACTGCAGGCGCTGCAAAATCCATGCCTGATGGTGATTTTGAAATTTCCTCATGATGCTCAACATCAATCGCAGATTTTTCAGGCTCTGCTTCAGTTGGTGTCATGGAGACTTCTTTCGTTTCTGCTTCTTCGGCATGCAGACTATCTGGGTAAGAAGTCTCCTCTTCTGTCTCATGGTCTGGGTGTGGTTTCACAACCTCAGCAAGACTGTCTGTTGCCGGGGTCTTCATTACCTCTGGCAGTTCGTTAAGCTCCTCCATCACAGTTTTTTCTCCTACTTTGCGCCTTGGAGGCAGGTTCGAGGGTCTTCCAGCCGGCGAATACTTAATCTCATGACCCGGTTTCTCCGCAGTCGCTTTGGCAACTTTGGCCGCATGTTCAGCCAACTTGGCTTCAGTTTTAGAGGCAGGTGTCATACGCTTTTCAGCAGGCGACTTCTTAGCCAATGGTGTTGTTTTGGTGCTTGCTGTAGAAGGTCTGGTTGTGGTAGGATGAGTTGCTCTATCCCTCGGAGTGGTGGTGGTAGTAGTAGTCGAATGACGAATTGTAGAAGTTGTTGAGCGAGGTGTTGTTGTTGTAACTTTAGATTTCGGTGTAGTGGAAGGCACGGTTTTTGAAGGTGCGGTAGGCTTGGTCGGCGGGGCTCGAGATAGGGGTGTTCTTGTGGGTGTAGGTTTCGAAGCCAGAGGCTTCGTAGACGCTGGAGTTGTATTCCTCAGGGTTCCACTGGAAAGAAGGATAGAAAATATTGTTTATGCCACAATCCCTGATTCAGAGATCCCGCATACCAAAACACGACGAGGATTCAGAATGCAATAGACAAATTTCACAAATAAGCAAAGAACTAACAAATGAAAGTAACTTTGAGATGCTTCAATGCTGACTTGGACAAAAAAATCCATGAAGTGTTCTACGATTTCTTTGTTTGATGCCTACGCGCAGATAAAAGTTGAGTATTTTAGAAGCACAAGATGTTCCATGACACAGTTATAAATGAGTATTCGAATTGAATTGTAAATCAGCAAGTAATTTTTAAAAAAATACGACTTTGATATTGACGTAGAAAGCACTCTGACATTAAGAGTTTGACGAAAGAGTGGTAAAACTTCAGCTCGTTTCTATTCTGCATTGACACATTGGTCAATTCATTCGAGACTTTGGAGAACAGGACGGTGTCCTTGAATAATTTATTTGAAGCCTCATCAGTGAATTATGGTTTAGTTTTGGCTACAGATTTGGCTTTCAAGAACTTGAAAGACACCTCCAACTTATTACACAAATGGTGAGTCGCGTTCTTAAAATTTTCCGACTCACTTTACATGTGCTTTCATTGGTGGTGTACTGTTGACTGTTTTACCCGCCACACCCGGTGGTTTCGCTCCTGTCGGCGCCACTGTTGTTCTCTTTAGTGGAGCCGCAGTTGTGATTGCATTGGAGCCCTCCACAGTAATCTCTGGTACCTTCCTAAGCATTCGAACCAGCCCTGCCAACAAGCTGGCTGGCAAAACTGAGGTCTCAGGGGAGTGAACTACCGGCAGGAAGATGGTCAACGGTAAGACCGATTTACCCTTCCCCTCACCAGTAGCGGGATGCCAAACTAAAAGAACACCAACGCTGCTGCCCAGGTATCGGAGACTGAGTTCACCCACTCCAATTTTGTAGAAGAGGCGAGTGTGCTCGGACTGGGCAGACAAATGGCGGAGGCGGTGAGGATCAACGTTTGCGGTGGCTGTTGTAGGCGGAGTGAGGAGGAGGGGCGACTCAACGCCTGGTTCAATGGGAGCTGGGGTGAAAAGGCAGCCAAGCCAGTTGGCTGAATATGAGGCGGAAGTAGCGTGAAGCAGGTGTTTGGTAAGGAATCGGTAACTCTGGATGCTTGCTGCAGACCAGTCCGGGAAGATAGCGGTGTCTAGACTGAAGAGCAAAGAAGGATATGGGGAAAAAGTTTAGCAGAAATTAGTCATATTTGATGAGGCGATAAATCCCCCGTTTCTCGTATGTTTGCTATCCCTATTTTTCAAGAACTTCAGAGGAGAAAGGCGTTCTACAACCAATTTGGTGGTAGTCTTATGTCCTCACGTCTCGACACCCTAGACTTAGAGAAGAATGAGCGTTTGACTCTTAAATAACGACTTTAATAATATCCATCTTGGACTTTGGATCCCAACCCAAAATAGATCTCCTTGTGGACAAGAGGTGGGTGAGCATGGCCTGAGAGTTATGGCCTCATTTAGCCTTTGTCTACCTCACTCGAAATCTGCCAAGTGAAGGGAAAAGAAGTACTTTTAACCAGTTCTTTCCTGCCAACCACTTTCCAATCTTTTGAGTTTTCAACGGCAAGAACAGAAGACTTGCCACACCCATAGCAATAAATTAGAGTCTAAGGAATTCCTAACGACCTTTCTCGGTGATAAATCATGGGCTTCTGTTGGGTTGGGGTAAGTTACACAATCCGAGGCGCAAATAATACCAATCTACAGGCGATTTTTGAGGTAAATTTACTTGGTCGTCGAGTTTTTCTCATTTTTCCCCTAAAATTAATGTTTCGAGATTTAAAAGTTGAAGTTTGGGAACACGAGTCTTTATACAACACGTTCGTGAAATCCCAGCTATTGGAACATCTCATTAACCCTCATTTACTTGTTCAAGTTTGAAATCTACCTGTCGACAACTCAAGGCAGTTCATGCACTATGATTATTCTATTCAATTTTTGAGCAAAACTAATTATGAACAAACCACTCCCTCCTTAAACCTAAACTACCTTCTTAGTAAGTTTCAAGAGTTGTCATATCAACTGATAAAGAGGGGATGTCAGCGCACCAGTCTAGAAATCATTTCACTTATCTAAAGAAAGTGATTAGCATCTGTTGGGTAGTTCCGAGGAACTTACTTTTTCTCCACCTCCAGCCCTTAGCATTCGAACAGTGACTTTTGAGACAATTTTCCTAGTATAAAAGTCCAATTATCAGCATTTGCTTCTCAATGGACTAAAAAGGTAGTGAGTTGAATGGTCGAACTGGCATCGACTAGGAGATCATTTCATTCTCCAAAGCTTCGAACTGATCTAACTTTCTCTGTGAACTTGAACTCTTAAAAACATAAACCCCGTAGGATACACGCATGGAGTGGTGTACCTTTAAATTGTGCTGCTTTGAAGCTAATCTACGCCTACACAATCGTTATGCATTGGGACTGACCAATGAATTTTAACTCACCGATCTAGGCTGCGCACCAGTTGCCACCACTGTGGCGGTTTATTGCTGGCAAAAGCTGAGCCCAATAGAACATTTACACCCTGAACAACGAATAGCCCACAAGCCTGGGTTTGAACACCTCCATGACCGCTGGGCAGCAGGTAAAGAGCAGGTGGAGCGTCTTTGAAAGATCTCTGAGCCAGAGTGAATTCCTGGTCCACTTCTGCGAGCAGTTTTGATTGGTGCTCCCAGTGCAGACGTGCCAGTTCACCACTAAGCGCATGCAGAGCTTCGAATGCTAGAAAGGGAGAGGAAGGTATGATAGGGGACACACCGTTGTTGATTCGACAGCAGTTTTTTTTATTGTTATAAAATTCCACAACGTTTTCAGGACAAGTAAAATGATAAAGGCTGTTGTAAGTTTGTTAGTGTTTACAGATGGATAGCTTACCACACACTACTGTTGGTTCGAGATCGGATTGGCTATCCAAAATAAGCGAAACTATGTCTTACTTTAAGAAAAATAACTTTCAACTCCCACCCAGCACTCACTTCCCAGTTCTCACTAAAATGGTGAAACGGAAGGCGATTCATAGCCCTGTAAGGGTACATGCCAATTTCAATTGTGTAGAGCGTGAGGGAGAGTGGGAGGCAAGGGGAAAGGGGGAGGCCGTAAATTTCCTATCACAGAGAGAGAGGGAGGGAGGGCAGGAAGTGCGGTGCGCATGGATATTCAGGCACTCACACTGAGTCACAAAGCAGCAGTGACTCACACCCATTACCTCATTCCACGTCACGTACACAAAAAGACAAAGGCATCGCCTAGAACAAAGCAACGACTAGGACTGCCTAAAGCACAACTGGGGCTGTCGGCTTTCCCTTTGACCAGGCCCCTTTCACTACACAAAGCGAATGTGAATCCAGCACTAAGACAGCTAACAGTCTTGTGGATTTCCCATGAAAAAGTTTTGTGAACAGATTTTATTCTTCTAACATGCTACTGCTTACCTCATATACCTAGTCAGCACAATCACCACTTGGCACCCCTACTGGGAGGAGTTTTCGTCACAAAAACGAAAGCTGAACTTGGGTACATTCACCCAAGATTACCACTTTGAGTGGAAAAAAAAGTTGGTCCAATGCTTGAGTGACTGGCTACAATAATTTGTAACTTCTGAAATACACTGCACTGTTTACAATCATAATGCACCCATCTGCTAGTGCCAGCGCTCTGGGCTGTGTTGAAGGAGTTTGGTGTAGTTCAGACTTGTCAGCCTCCTTTTGGGGAAAAAGTCGTGCAGTAGCAGAAATTGTACAAACAAAAAAAATTATTCTTGTGATGAATCACTCCATGCGCGTCAAAAGGGAAAAAAGGCACTCCATATTCGAAGATGCAGTTGAACATGGACGACTTTCCAGGAGTAATCTACATCGACGTTTTAGGCGAGAGGATGAACGGTCGTATAATGCGTCAAGTGGAAGGCGAAAGTAATGATGGAAGCTGCTAAGGAAACTGAGCTCCACCCACATGCATTAACAGATACCGATAAACATCACTGCGATCAGCACCTCCTCCACAGAAAACACTGACTTTATATCGCTGACTGAGTGGTCTTCTATGCGAAATGACCTCTGCGTTGCATTCCAATGTCACACCTCCCGAGGATTTGACCTGTTTTGTGAGTTGGTGTACTAGGGACACAATCATTCACCTGGAATTGCATGCACATGGAGAAGCTCCAAGTGTAATGCGGATCGAGGGTGTGTAAGAACTTGAACAACACCCATAACTGGTCACTTCGTGAGGAGTAAGTTCTTTTCTTGCAACACAACATGGCTCAAGATCTCACACTGGCTCAGAACTTTCCGGAGGACATCCTGAAGCGCACATTGGGTCGATTGAAGATGCAATAACTACGCCATAGCCCCCATTTTCTCAAAAATCCTGTCCACAGTTTTTCGAGATATGATTACCACCTTGAACTGGGGGTCTGTTCCTCTGGTTCTTGAGGCTAATGGAGCTTAAGGTGTATTAAATAGTCTAGAAGGCTGCCTGTAAATGTGGACCTCTTTCAAGTATGAAATAGGTCTTCTGAATTTAAGAGGGTTCACACCTGATCTTAACGGTAAATAAGTTATTTTTTTCAGCTCTTTAAATTGAACAGCTTCGCATCCTGTCAACAATCTACGGTAGTAAAAATGATCAACTTCATCCTGGACATTTTTTAAGAATTTTCTGGAAAATGAGGGAAATCAGTTTAATGAAATTTTACAGCTAATGAGAATTTAAACATTGTTTTTTAATTAGGTTTGTCAAACCATTCCTCCAGTATGCGCAAACTCGAAATTAATCTCTCAAAATATGATCCATCAGCCTAAATTTTCTAATCACCCTACCAGTGGCATTCGACGGCGCGGCAGGAAGCTTCCCGTTCGCCCGCCACGAAGCCGTGGTTTGAAGTCGCACAGGCAGACGGCGAGACTTGGAGAGCATCACGAATTGGATGCTACCTGAGGAGGTGGTTGGCATTGGCCAACGAGTCTTGGCACCAGCACTCGGAGTGCACACGACGATGTTGATTGGCTCCGTACCGCTGGGAGCGGTGGTCAACTTTTGAATCTCCGGTTGCCAGGCCTACGGATGAAGTAGACGACCAGATTTATGAATTAGGCAACTCCATTTAATAGTCCGTATGGGATCAGCAGATTCCTCAAACTACCCTTCTAATCCAAACCCTTCGGTGCATCGTTAATAACAGCCTTGAAGCGTAAATTAAGTTTTAGCATAAGTGAGATGCAATCGAAATTTTTTGCCCACTTCCACTCCCCTATGAAGGAATTGGCCAATCAGCGAGTGGTTAGTACTGCGAAAGCTTGCCATGCCTCCACTGTAACCATGCCAAGATTTGTCAGACGCACCAACATCAAGCTCTCTGCATCATAATCATGTGCCAAAGTTATCCTGAAGGGAATGCTTGGTAAAATAAGGCGAGATGATACCTTTAAGGTACGATGATGAGCTGAGCAAGTGATTACACTGAACAGGGACAGGGTGAAGTAGGGGCGAAATCAGAGTTTAATTCCTAGAACCCAGTCTTTACATTGTACTCATTACTTAGTGTTTAATTCCGTTTAAATCTATGAGCTGCATTGCCAGCTTTAGAATCCAAAAGTAATCGCATAGTCGTCGTCGAGAACGAGACCTCATTTTCCTAGCTTTTGCTGTAGTCCGTCAGACACCTTGTGAAGATTGTCACTCCAAAAAAAAAAAAAAACTACCACAATGGCTAATAGTAAGCCTTCAGCTCTACCCTACTATGCACCGCCCTGTGGGTGCATTGTTTATCAGCCGAGAAAACAACCAGTTTATTGATGTCGAACTTGGCTATTTGTTTACGCGAGAGCATTAGGCATAACTTGGAACACAAAGGTCCGAGAGACAGTCTTCAAATTCATTATCACTGCAGTGAAAACTAAACTGGATGCAAGCATGTTGAAATTTTTTCCTCCCACCTACCATATTTGTCGAAATGGATTAGCCTTGTGTAACATTAAGAAAGCCTAGCTTCATTGCCCAAGGAATCCCTTTCCAACATTCGACTTCCACTCCAACGGCTTGAAGAGTATGAATACAACTACACTTCAAAGGTTTCAAACACCCACAGCCGCACAAAGAAGGGGAAATCGTGCGCATCCGTTCCCCACCTCCATTCATCAAGCCGTGGCAGAAAGGAATTGAAAAGTAATGGAGAAAGTGCCGCGAGATAAGTCGACTTTACAGACCCAAAGGCCCTTGGCTGGATGGACGGGTGATAGCCAGCGGACAGCAAGCCAAAGCGTGGCAACTGATCGGACATGGGCGCCTGCATTCTGGATACATGTGAGTCATCCCTGCCAAGTACGGCAGTTGGCCAGTCAAATAACCTCCCCAATTAGGTGACAGTTCATTTGCCGCCAGGAGAGTGTAGTGATAAATAACCAAGTAGCCTGTTTCGATCGAGAAGAGGAAAAAGCGTTCAACGGTGTGATGAAAAAAAAACCCAAACACACCTTCAAGTCTCAATAATGCATAGACAATGGACGAGAGAACAATGGAGGTTATGCAAAGACAGCGGACGGGCCAAACAAAAGTGCGACGGTTTAAGAAAGTCGGGCAAAAAAAATTGTCACGCCATCGATGAAATCGCCATTGTGAGAAGATTCGTAAAGTTAACTCAAATTCATGAAATGTGGAGAGTACTTAAATGATAAAATTCATCGTGGTTAATTGGGACAGAATTATTTTACTACGAATATGAAATCTGCAGTGGTACTGCTACAGCTAATGGGAATCGGAAACCTTCCCACGGTCGCGACTCCCGCTTTGCTCCCTCCACAATCATCAGTTCTGCCGCCAGGATGTAAGCGGATGATTTTAACGCATACACTGACAATCATCGGTTTTGGTGTACCAACCAAAGCACAGAAGAGTTTAACAACAATCTGAAGCGTTCTTCCGAACGCCCGTCGTTGTCGGCGTTATTTCCAGCGCCGAGATGTCGACCCTGCACCACTCAAATTTGTTTTCCATAGCGTATTACTTCAAATAGGCAGAAAAAAATGTACAGCAGTAATAGAGTTGATTGGAATTCGAAGTCGCCCAACTATGGAGTGAATTTATAACGCCGCAATCCATCAATTGTTGTTGTTATCATTCTACGCAGTGGATAAAAGCGTGCTTCAAGGATTAAAAGCCTCTATGACGATGCACAAGGAAATATGATTGAACTTTTTTAGAAAGTCAGACCAAAATGCTAGTCTAAAGGGACGTCTAAATGGTACATAGGGAAGAACACCCAGGCAAGGCAGGACAATTAGTGGTAAGAAATGCTCCCCCACCCCAAACTCAAAGTGATTGGAGGAAGGCTCAAAAATGCTACGCTCTGGTTGCAGGTAATCTAATCATCCGCCCAGTCAAAACAGTGAGACTGTAAAATGCTCGAACTCAATTATGATCCCGAAAAAGTTTAAGCTTTACACAGTTTCATTGCCCGACTAATGGTAATCTGCCAGTGTTGATGCTGCGGGTTTTAGACCCCATTCTCGCCGTGATTGGTGTGAACTCAAGTGATTACTCTGTAGGTTATCTAACCAAAATTAAATGAAATGAAGATTACTTTCGTTGAACCTATACATGACCCAATGGAATCCTGAAGTTGCACTCAGCCTTACCGCAGCAGCATTGGAATCCAGCCACATATGCAGCTGTTCTCCAGAGAATGTTGAATCAGCAAGAAGCCATTCCCCAGTGGAGTGAAGCACCTCGCCAGCATAGACAACAACTACAACGGCAACTCCAGAACCGACGGCATCCACAGCTTCAGCAACAGCTTCTTCAAAGGCGGTCTGGAATTGGTGCAGCTCCGGTTGAAAGAGAGCCCGTAGAGGAGCGCCCGAAGATAGGGAGTGAATCAAGGCTGTTCCATCTAAAATGATGAAGTTAGAAAGGTTGAACTAGTTAAAGCGGAAAATTTAGAGATCAAAAAATAATTAGAAGCACTGGGAAATAATGCAAGGTGTATCAGAGGCGACAAAATGAAGATCCTGAACCATAGACAGCTCTAGGCAAACTAGATGATGACGAGACGCTTTGTAGATCACTCTCTTCTGGCATAGGTTGGTCGTAAAAAGCATTAGTTTCAGAATTCTCAAGCATCTGAATCACTCTGCCATTTGTTAAAAACACAGTTTAGGTTAAATCTCGTCAGTTCATAGATGAGTTAGTCAGCCACGTGCCATGAAGATGTACATTTGGCCTGCGCCAAGAAGAGGTTAAAGAGTGAGCTAAATGAGCTGTGACAGATAAAACCGTTTGTCGACCTCAGTCTCACCTGTTGGATTAGCAGAAAGTCACATTTTAATCTTATCTGTTCGTAGACAATAAATAGGAGGCCTAAAGTGTCAGTATGAGACCAGAGTGGAGTCATTGATTAACAACCCAAAACCACACACATCTTGTGAATGTATTCACCCTCAATCCACTATTGCTACCAATTTTTCGTAATCACGGCGGACTGCTATCTGTAGAGCGTGCAGAGCGCCAAAACCACCTATACATAGCTAAAAAATGCAACGACCTTGAAAACCAAACGTTCAAACAGCCAATCAGAGGCTTGCCCAATTGGCAATCAACCTCGTGCGAGGCGTGTGTTTGCATGTGGAGGGAGAATGGTTAACATAGGACGCAAAAAATAAATACCACTGAGTCCTGGATAAACGAGACAAAAAAGCCACATGCTAACGCAAAAGGGGGAGGGATAGGAAGAGAGACGGCATGAAGATTTTTTGCCAAACTGTGCCAGTTTTGTTAAAGGGGTACAGAAAGTGAAAAGCAAGACGCTGGTTGGTGCGAGCTTGCAGCAGGTGTCGATCATTACCCCTCAGCGAACCAATCAGAGTATAGTAATTTAATGGCGTCCTCTGCTTTACTTTTGTATTTAACTGTTAAGTATCAGCCCGTGAACAACAAACGACCACCTATTCACCCTCCCGATCAATGGCAGAGCTAAAGAGCTGCTTGACAGTTATTGAAAGGAGTCGACTGTGACCTAACATAGTCATTTAAGTCTGTTTTGGAGAAGCTAACTACTCCTCCGCATTTCAAATGGCGATAAGATATTTGGCAAAACTTGTTGGAGACAGTGCCAAATAGGAAAAGCGCCTAACACGGAAGGAGATTCGTTTCAATTTCGTGGTTTATGAAAACATCAATTTCACAAAAAAAACTTGTGTCTCATGCGACTGTAGATATGGTTCAGTTGAAGTCAAAATGCTAAAGCATACAAAGGGTATCCGAAAATGCATTTTTAAATAGCTGCTCGTACACCACCGCAAATCCCCAAAAAGCACTACAGAAAGTGACGCTTACAAATTCCTTCAGATAAGTCGCATTTAGCTATTCAATACTTCGCCCTCTTGAAGCAGTGGTGACTTTTAAAAGAAACCTGTCACCCTACTGTTTGATGCTTAAAGCGATGAAAAGAACGCTCTCCACTACACCATCAGAGATCAATGCTTGGCATAAGTGCACATGTCAGTGTTTACGGCCTGTCGAATGCTTGCGCGGAGATGTGAAAAAGATTCCTAATCGGGAAAAGGTATGAGGCAACAATTCCGCTGATTCGCCTTGATAGAATGCCACCTATGGATGATGACCTTTGAAAAGAACCTGATTAAAGGTGGATGATCCCGCTTCATCCAGAAGGCCGGCAACAACTCGCCACAACTACCAAAAAGGCAAGCATAAAAGGGACTGTCGCATGACATCAATTTCGAAAGTGGCTTTTCACGCATTCAGTTGCCGAATGATTAATCGCTGCTAATTTTTATCCCTATTTTGACGATACTAATTTTTCCAAAAAGGAGAACAGACTCTGACGGTCTTGCAGATCTTTAAAGGAGTTTAATCAACAAATTCCTCAATAACGCAATACATCTGCATATAACTGGTGTGTAAAAAGTGAATCGGAACATTGAATCCATTGCAATGTTTGAAGAATTTGACCTACCGGATCCATTCATTGTAGTTCGGAAGCAGCGGTCCGCTTTCCAGTCAATGTATTAATCGCCTTTTCCTATATTCACATTTTGGCAAAAAAGACTAATCTCCTCTACTGGGCACGGTTTTAAATGCAAGAAAATGAGACGTCGTCTCAATTATGAATCCCGTAAACGCGAAAGAACGTGAATAGCTGTTTACCCTTAGAGGCTATCTATTCTGCTACAACCGCCTACCCCGCCTTTCCGTGCTGAGAGAATTATGAGTTTTCTCTGATCCACTCATAAGGCCTGACATTAAATTTGTGGAAGAAGAAGTAAATGTCCTTTTGTTCATCAACAAGGCAGGGCGACGAATACACACTGTGATAATACGCAACCCTTTGCAATCTTTCACAGCCTACCTTTCACGAGGGTGCCACTGATCATTAACAACTTTTGTGCAAACAGACAAAAAACGACCTCGAGAGACAACCAGAACGCGATGTTGGTGGCAGACATGCCATCCCAAAGGGGGAGAGACCAGATTTTGCGAGCAGAATGCCACATCGAAATGCCACTGATAAGTAACAAGATCTACACAGAAGCAGAGGAGGGAAGCTGCCATTTTGCGTTTAAAGCAAGATAAAAATGGATCCGAATTAGGAAGTACCATGATTCAGAGACCAGGTAGTATCGTTAAAGTGGAATAACAATTGCAGGACCTAGCTATGAGCTGCTTCGTTTTAGCTAACCACCTACTCCAGTTGAGTGAGACAGACTGCAGGTAAGTTTCTCAACGCACGATAATAAGCCCGGGAACCACCTCAAATTTCACACACTATGCGCAATTTACTTAACCATCAAAGCATACACTCATAAGAACAAGACAGTTGGAAATTTATGCATGCAGATTTACAGGAACTCTCCATGCCATAGGTTTACATGCGCTCATATATGGGAAAAATGTTGCGACTTTGAGCCGTGAGGGGAGGCGTTATAGCAAAGCTAACATCGTGCCAAAAAACAGGATTGGAGGGGCAATTGGAAGGAAAAGGGGGGACGATAACGCCCAGCCCTTGAGCAAACTTTGCCTTCCACTGCAATGGATGATGATTCATACACCACGGTAACAAAGCACAAACAAGGGAACAGACAATGCTTTCTTTGTGTGTCACTCACGATGACAGTGGCGGTTGTAAAAGCATCGTCATTATTTATTGTCAGGAACAGAGGGAGTAACTACATTCCCTCACTTACCATTGGCTAAAGAAAGGGCCTCAGCCCACGTTTTTTACTGAGAATGGCAGGAAGGATGGCATAGCGTTGTCAATGCATGCTGTGTCGCAGTAAATCAAATAAACAGGCAGAGAGAAGCAAAGCATGCATAGGAATGTAAGCAGACATGCATGCCAGGACAAGTAACACGCACACAAGAATGAATAAGCGGAGTTGGAGCATCCAATGTAGCAACTAGCAAGTGTGGAGAGGGGGCATGATCCATCACTGTGCGTAACATAAGGAAGAAATCGCTTATAGGGAGAAAGTCTGACCCAGTTCATCAACGCTGCATTTAGACGGACGTTTAAGAATAAAAAAGGGCTCGTCAGTTCCACGTGAGTCACCCTGTTGGCACGGTTAAACGCCGAGAGAAGAAGGTAGGGCCAATGGAATACGATAATCGTGGTGGGGGTGGAACAAGTGATTCAGCTTGATAGGCCACTTGCTAACGCGAAAAATGAATACGCGTCTGCGTGTGTTTACATTTCATCCATCGCTTTATCCGCACAATAAGTTTTGAGGAGCGTGAAAATGGGAGTTAAATTGTGCACTGAACGTCAAGCTAGTGTCCTTTCTACTCCATTAATCCCATGCTGGTCAACGGTAAATGCAATCTCGAGGGTATTCACAAGCCGTCTTTACCTTAGAACTTTTGGAAAACAGCATTTAAAACAGACCCATATATGAGCTCAACTACTGATCTTTTGTACATTCCATATAAATCAAAGAAAATGGGTGAAACAAAGACATAAAATTATACGAGATAGAAGCTGGTGTTTCGTCTTCAAGGCTGAAAGAAAGTGACTCCGAATAATAAATATTAATATTTTGGACCATATAAAGTGTTTTCATTTCTAAATTTATGAAGTGAGCTCCGGAATGCATCACTTTCAAGGCAAACCAAAGCATTTAACACAAAACTCAAAGAGAAAGAAATCACTCTGAAGTTCTGGCTAAGGCATTGTTTATTTATTTAAACCTAGAACAGATAAGAAAATCACATAAATTCTGACTTGAGTAAATAAAGCAGCTAGCCGGGGGGAATAACAACCCATGCAGTCTCAAACTAAAACTTTCAGCAAAAGCCCATTGACACAATTCAAACCCGGTCTCGAAGTGGTCTATGCGGTTTGACAATCAGATACTAGGAAGGAAACCCAAATCAAGATAAGGGTGGAGGGTAATAAAGTTTCTGAACCAACTGACTTTGATTCAGTCAAACTGTACTTCTGAAAAAATGTTAAAACTCTCAAATTCAATGTGTTCTAATCCAATAAACCACCACACAAACATGGGAAGCAAACAGGCGTTGATGTCAAAATAATTCTTAAATAGCCAAGTAAGAGCCAAAAAGACTATAATTTGAAAAATAAGGAGAAAGTCATTTTCAGGCATTATGAAAACGGCACCGAAATGACACACGAGGTTGGGCTCTAAAAGTGGAACATGCAACACGTTCCTTTCGCATTGTTCCTCCCACGCTGTTAGTCATTCTACCACAATGACGAATCGGAATTTGCAAGACGTTTCCAGAAGAATCCTAATGGAATCAGTCGTCCCAGGAAGTGACAATAAATGAAAAGCGGGCTCGGTAATAAGTTGCTGTTGCACAAACTACTAATGGTCAATCCTCTCGGTCTTTGATTTACATAAATCAAAGTAAATGAAT